TGCAAAGAGGGCCGATAAGGAAGCAGCTCCAGCAGCGGTGAAGAAGGAGAAGAAGGCCACGGCACCAAAGAAGAAGGTTGAAAAGAAGGTGGAGAAGGCTGAGAAGGCTCCAAAAGAGAAGAAAGCCCCAGCAAAGGCTTCAGCTGCTCCAGCTGCTCCTGCTGCCCCTGCTCCAAAGCCCACACTTCGAATCGCAAACAACATCGTATTGACCTCGTAAATGAGTATTGAAGGTACTGGGGAGCATGCTTAACACGGACAAGATCCGGTCCCAGGTTTGTCCCCCGTACCGCACACTTGGTAGTCGACACCGCTTCCCGATTTACCGACCTCCTGTCAGTATGGTGACTGTACGTACCTAAAGTCAATATCCTCTCAAGGCTGTGCAAGCCAATAGAGTGGACTGAAGGGTGGAATTGAATGCAAATCTATGTCAGGCAAATTTTCTGTCACGGTAATGGCTAGTTCATCGAGACTCGTTGCTATACAGACTATCACGGTGAGGCAGACTGATCAGCGGACGTGTCTTCATGAAGTCCTGTGCTCCAGTCGGCAGGTTAACACGAATTAAGATATGCCGCGCCCATCGCGTAGCGTGGCAGAGCGGCAAATTGCCATTCTCTGGGTCTTCCGTTGATGAGAGGGTGCAGAGGAACAGACTAGTCTAGCCCCGTTGGGTTTCCCGTCATATCCGGTCATCCTGGCCTCTCAGGTAGTGTCCGAATTTCAATTTACCAAGGTTACTAACGCTGTGCACCAAGAAATGTCCAGTGCTGAAACTTCCATCGAGTCTGATCTCACTCTGTGAGACAGCATTCGGTCGTTCATGAGTTCAGACTGGTAGCTTTAAAACAATGTCAAAGCCCTCGCAGACGACACTTCATTCAGATGCCGATTAAATCAAGCAATAAACAACTGTTTTGTTATGATAACTGCTGTTTAACGCCGCAGTACGCGTTCCGAATGTTATCACAAGAATGCTGAGTTGTGGTTTGCCCACAACTCAGCATTCTTGTGATAGCAATAAACAACGATTTATACCGACCCATGGCGCCGTGCTCGTTTGCGTTGGCGTTTCGCCTTTACTCGCTCCCTACTGTCAATTCCCCGCTCCTCGTCAGTCTTAGTTACCGGTCTGTGTTGACCGAAAAAGCCATGTAGCGGCCGAAATCATGAGGTAGGGGCCCCTCTCCGGACCAAAACTAGGAGCTCCTGTCATACTATTTACTAGGCTGATCGATGTTCCACCTCTGCCCTCGACACAGAGCATCCTACCACTCCAGGCCTTCCTGGATAGCGCAAAGCAAAGTATATCCTGCTTACCGAGGAGCGAGGAGTAGCCTGGAGCCTCATCACTGGCCAAGGCGATGACCGAGGCCGCAAGAGAGGAAGTCAGAATTTGCTGTGAATTTTCTCACAACGTATGCAAACCAAACGCCATTATTGGTGGTATTTGTAACGCTATGTGAACTCGCGGTAGCACTAGCGATGGGGGGGGGGGGCGTGGGAGGGCGTGGGCGATGGGATATCATCATCGTTATGGATGTCGATAGCTCTCCCATCGTT